ATTGGAAGAAAGGTTACTTGGTCAAACCGCCGAAGAAGGGCGATCTAAGTCTTTGCAAGAACTGGCGCGGAATCACTCTCCTGTCCACCCAAACCAAGCAAAGTATTAAGCCGCATCATCCTGGAGAGGCTTAAAGATGCACTGGATTCAAAACTACGACCGGAACAGGCAGGCTTCAGGAAGTACAAATCATGTGCAGACCAAATTGCAACGCTTCGCATCATCATAGAACAGAGTATAGAATGGCAGTCAACTCAACTCTACCTCAACTTTATCGATTTTGAGAAGGCCTTTGACAGCATCGATCGAGAGGTAATTTGGAAACTGCTACAATACTACGGAGTACCGCAAACCTTTATCAATCTCATTCAACAACTACTACTATCACCCATGATATTCCTGATTGTAGTGAACTGCATCATGCAACAAACAGTGAGGAGCTGTGAGAAGAGGGGGATACTCTGGACTGGAGAAGAGAATCTAGAAGGCTTGGATTTCGCCGATGACTTGTGTTCGATGTCACACAAACTTGAAGATCTACAGGCGAAAACTAACAAGTTGACAGAAGATGCAGCGAAGACGGGACTTCAAGTAAACGTAGAGAAGACAGAGGTGATGAAGATACCCAACCAACAACAGCACCATAAACAACAAGCTCCAATCACTATCAACATGAGAAACCTAAAGGAAGTAGTCTCTCACCTTCACCTACCTAAGCAGCATCGTTTCAACTACAGGTGGCGGCACAGAAAAGTATGTCAAAACCAGCTAGGATCGGGAAAAAAAGACAGGCGTTGATTAGCCTGAAACCAGTGTGGAGATCTTCGGCACTGAACGTAGCATATGGAACAAAATCCGGATTGAGCATACACTGAGAAGGCCGACCGGGGACATCATGCGCCCGGCCCTCGAGTGGAACCCCGATGGGAAGCGACGAGTTGGGCGTCAGAGGGTGACATGGAGGAGATGGTGCGAGGAGGAAATGAGAGCTTCTGTGCTGTCTTGGAGCCAGGTTGAAAAGATTGCAGAGAACAGAGTGGAATGGAGACGTGCTACTGAAGCCCTATGTTCTATTAGGAACCCAAGGGACAAATATTAATGATAATAATAATAATATTCACTTTATTCCAAACAAAATGTGTGATACAGTTAGAATTTCTAACATGGGATATTTCAACGAATTCGGTTTCTGTACAATATTTTCAAAAGAAATGATTAGTACGTCTGCATAGTGTTAATAATAACAGTATTGAAGGCATATGTGTGAAATGGACAGCGAGTGTTATTTCAGAATACCTTCTCTATCCGGAACTTAACGCGGAATCGAGTGCACTTTTGATGGTGGCACTTCAGTCAGCCAGCATAGAAATTAACAATCCCATGCAAATATCCTAAGAATAGTAATGTAGTGTATTTTGAGCATTAACAAATCCATTTCCAACAGGAAAAATGTTATTGTATTGCTTTTTTAGCATAAGAAAAGAAAGGTCGAAACATTAAAAAAGTGTACGAGAGTACATGATGCGTTCAGAAGACAATAAACAGAATAACAAAACTGAAAGGGAAGACTTTGACGGAAAATAATGCAGCGAAGACGGTTTTGGTAACCCAAAATATAAACAAGCCGACTTAAAATTAAAGCTTTATGTGGTTTGCATATAGGAGACAAACATTCTTTTGTCGACAATCGATTTTCGTGTGTAATTTCATCCACTTAATGTAAAAATAGTGATATCATTTAAAGTTTGAAATACATGTGTGGTGAAGGAGACATCACTGACCATCCGAGGGTAATTTGTGTCAATTTTGTACAGTTTTACTTGTATCATGGGTTCCTAGTGGAACATAAGGCTTCAACAGCACGCCTCCATTCCATTCTGTTCTCTGAAGTCTTCTTAACCTGGCTCCACGACTACCCACAAGCTTTCATTTCTTCATCACACCATCTCCTCCATGTCAACCTCGCCTCATATACTCAACTCGTCGTTCCCTAGATGGCTTCAAATCGAGAGCTTGGAGCCTGAAATCCACAAATTGTCTTCCCAGTGTATGTCCAATCCAACCAATGTACACTTCCTTCTGCATATTTGTTCGGTGATGGATTCTTGGTTGGTAAGTTGTCAGCCAGTCAAAGTTCCTTGTTGCTTGTTCCTATTATTCTGGCCATCTGATCTGATCTTCAGTATCGAATGAGCGTAGGTGGCAGCTGTTGATGAATGTCTGTAGTTTGTTGGAAATGCTTTTCGTGACGCGCCAGTTTTCTGAACCACCCGTGTAGAAGCACTGACTTGACCAACTTAGTGTTGAAAATCCAAATCTTGTTCACGCTTTATGCTGAGTGGAGTTGAGTGCAGTGCAGTGCAGTGCAATGCAGTCTAGCAGATCTCCATACTGATTTCAGATAGATGTGGGCCTGTCTTGCTGTCTTTCCAATCCAACCGTCGTCATTTCGTCCCTCTGATTCCAGCCAGGCATAAGTTTATATTTATTTCACATACTTCCTTTGTGCTTTGAAGTTTCTTTAGTGACTGTATTGGTTTTACGGGGTAGGGTTGCTAGACCTATGACAAAGCTTCCCTCATTATCCGCGATTAGTACCGGCTAGTAACTAGTGAACTTGTTAACTAAGCATGGTTTTGTGTCAATTACATACGGTCGAGTGCTAGCCTATAATATTTAATAAGGCTAAAATTTCGCATTGTAAAATCTGAAAGATGACACATGATTGAACAATCTTGTTTTCAACTAAACCTCATCACATAGATTTGCTTTGTCTATCGAAATATAATTAGTAAAACCTCTTATATCTGAGGAGATATACGTAAATGAGAGTCAAGCTTGGTAAGAGTCTACTGAAAACAATATTGCTCAAATATATGTCTGCGTTTATTGTAATCTTTAGCGAAGTACATGAAGGTATTTCATAAAGTATTTACCTGTCGGATGAGTTGAAAGTTGGTCCGGCATAAAAACAACCCTCGCTTACCGTACCATATGCATGAATACGCACATTTAAAATTTTTCCTTTCGGTAGACCACTCACTATTCCCATTATCCTCATTTCATTGCCATTTACTGTTAGGTGTAAATCTCCATTGCCATTAGATCTTGAGAAACTAGCTATTGTATTTCTTGAATTGAAACTATATGATATTGCTACAACAACAAAATATACACATAATCAGTACTTGAAAAAAAGCTAATTTAAATGAAACACCAGCGCATTCTATTGCATGAAAGCTGGTCATTGAAGAAATGCTGCGCAGCAGTCATCATCAGCGTGCATCTGTACACTCGAAAGAACCGATATCATCAAGGACGACCGATATCTGAAATAACAACTAGGTGCCAAGGTTTAAATATCCAGTTCATACCTTCCGAAAAACTTCCAACATGATAGGTAGAGGAAACCGTCACAAATATTATATTTCACCTGTGTTATACTTGCATTAACCACAGCTTATTTGTGATATAACGACTCTCAATATTAACTCAACAGAGTGCAACCAATTATTCAGAGGTAGAATTACACACCAATATTGAAACATCGAAATCAAGAGATCATTATTTAAGATGTATTTGTGAACTTAATAAAATTTCAATTTTGATTGATTGTTTGAAGCAGGTGAGAGTGGTGTGATAGGTGATAGTTTGAGACTGATTTACTTCGGAAGCAGTCTGAAGTTGATGCAAGTATAAGGGTATCGTATTACGATCAGCAATGAGCCCTACTCTTAGTATCATTCACAACAACTGCTATGCTATTACAAAACGTGCATCATTTCACTTCGAAAATAATCTGAAGTCGACAAAAGCATAACACTGACAAATCAGTAAGATGATGCAGTTTGTCTGAACCAAGTTATGTGTTCACGCCACATATTTGGAACAATCTGATCAAACACATCCTTGTCGTCATAGGCATTTGTTTGATAAGCTGTTAAGAGGAAGTATGTGAGTATATGAGGAGAAGAGGCTTAGTATGAAGTCTAAATTGAAAGGCTAAGGAGAAATGACAGTCAAGTGAGTGGAACTGAAAATACATTGACCTCGGTTTCAGTGATAACTTCATCAAGGAATGTGCAATATTGCAACAAATTGATTTTGAACACACTGAGTTCGCCTAAACTTCACATAGCTGATTCCTGAACACATTTCAGGATCTATTTTGAACGGGTTTGGTAAATAGGTACAGAGGCATAGAAGAGTCAATACTGAGACATATCTGAACAAAGTGTGTGTAGCAAGTGAAGACCATGCATCTCTGCTACCAATGATTTAGGCTCAGCTGACTCAATTCGACTCGATTCGTTTCTCATTTCAAGCTACAGTGGACCGTCACTTGCATGAATCCAGGAGTCCCACTTGTACGTGCAGATAGTACAATGATTCGGCAAGCGATTTGCCTTATCCCTCCCATTACTACTTGTAAGGAATCGTATCACAAATTTTGATGTTGATCGACATGTGCTGTGTGGGCAACATCAACCATAGAAAACCAGTTCCAACAGTCAAGTGCTACCTGCTTCTCTCAACCGACTTCGTTGATTTTTCACATATCTAACATTTCGTAGTTCTAATAGAATTTGTAATACTACTTGAGCTGAAGACAAACCTGGATGGAGCAGGATTTCTCACCTATCTTCAACATGCAACGAATGAATACAGATGAACCAACATACGCCTGTGTGATCAATCCACATCAGACTACTTATATGTGACGGCTAGACGTCTACGCATAACATGCCAGCAGTCCACGGAACTGCATTCAGTAGAATCCTGATGTAAGAAATTCTGAGGCAATCAGTCAGTGCTTGACCATAATGAGGAAGCAGATTTCACGAAGCACTGCTTTCACAGTAGACGCACCCGATATTGTCGTTGTCGGTGTTGCTGGTGCTGGTGTTGAAATCAGTTGATGTAATTATTAGCAGTGAACTGTGAGGAGAGAGATAGTAATAATGATTGAAATAATAATAATAATAATAATCATAATCAAGATGATGATGATGATGATGATGATGATGATGATGATGATGATGATGATGATGATGATGATGATGATGATGATGATGATGATGATGATGATGATGATGATGATGATGATGATGATGATGATGATGATGATGATGATGATGATGATGATGATGATGATGATGATGATGATGATGATGATGATGATGATGATGATGATGATGATGATGATGATGATGATGATGATGATGATGATGATGATGATGATGATGATGATGATGATGATGATGATGATGATGATGATGATGATGATGATGATGATGATGATGATGATGATGATGATGATGATGATGATGATGATGATGATGATGATGATGATGATGATGATGATGATGATGATGATGATGATGATGATGATGATGATGATGATGATGATGATGATGATGATGATGATGATGATGATGATGATGATGATGATGATGATGATGATGATGATGATGATGATGATGATGATGATGATGATGATGATGATGATGATGATGATGATGATGATGATGATGATGATGATGATGATGATGATGATGATGATGATGATGATGATGATGATGATGATGATGATGATGATGATGATGATGATGATGATGATGATGATGATGATGATGATGATGATGATGATGATGATGATGATGATGATGATGATGATGATGATGATGATGATGATGATGATGATGATGATGATGATGATGATGATGATGATGATGATGATGATGATGATGATGATGATGATGATGATGATGATGATGATGATGATGATGATGATGATGATGATGATGATGATGATGATGATGATGATGATGATGATGATGATGATGATGATGATGATGATGATGATGATGATGATGATGATGATGATGATGATGATGATGATGATGATGATGATGATGATGATGATGATGATGATGATGATGATGATGATGATGATGATGATGATGATGATGATGATGATGATGATGATGATGATGATGATGATGATGATGATGATGATGATGATGATGATGATGATGATGATGATGATGATGATGATGATGATGATGATGATGATGATGATGATGATGATGATGATGATGATGATGATGATGATGATGATGATGATGATGATGATGATGATGATGATGATGATGATGATGATGATGATGATGATGATGATGATGATGATGATGATGATGATGATGATGATGATGATGATGATGATGATGATGATGATGATGATGATGATGATGATGATGATGATGATGATGATGATGATGATGATGATGATGATGATGATGATGATGATGATGATGATGATGATGATGATGATGATGATGATGATGATGATGATGATGATGATGATGATGATGATGATGATGATGATGATGATGATGATGATGATGATGATGATGATGATGATGATGATGATGATGATGATGATGATGATGATGATGATGATGATGATGATGATGATGATGATGATGATGATGATGATGATGATGATGATGATGATGATGATGATGATGATGATGATGATGATGATGATGATGATGATGATGATGATGATGATGATGATGATGATGATGATGATGATGATGATGATGATGATGATGATGATGATGATGATGATGATGATGATGATGATGATGATGATGATGATGATGATGATGATGATGATGATGATGATGATGATGATGATGATGATGATGATGATGATGATGATGATGATGATGATGATGATGATGATGATGATGATGATGATGATGATGATGATGATGATGATGATGATGATGATGATGATGATGATGATGATGATGATGATGATGATGATGATGATGATGATGATGATGATGATGATGATGATGATGATGATGATGATGATGATGATGATGATGATGATGATGATGATGATGATGATGATGATGATGATGATGATGATGATGATGATGATGATGATGATGATGATGATGATGATGATGATGATGATGATGATGATGATGATGATGATGATGATGATGATGATGATGATGATGATGATGATGATGATGATGATGATGATGATGATGATGATGATGATGATGATGATGATGATGATGATGATGATGATGATGATGATGATGATGATGATGATGATGATGATGATGATGATGATGATGATGATGATGATGATGATGATGATGATGATGATGATGATGATGATGATGATGATGATGATGATGATGATGATGATGATGATGATGATGATGATGATGATGATGATGATGATGATGATGATGATGATGATGATGATGATGATGATGATGATGATGATGATGATGATGATGATGATGATGATGATGATGATGATGATGATGATGATGATGATGATGATGATGATGATGATGATGATGATGATGATGATGATGATGATGATGATGATGATGATGATGATGATGATGATGATGATGATGATGATGATGATGATGATGATGATGATGATGATGATGATGATGATGATGATGATGATGATGATGATGATGATGATGATGATGATGATGATGATGATGATGATGATGATGATGATGATGACGATGATGATGATGATGATGATGATGATGATGATGATGATGATGATGATGATGATGATGATGATGATGATGATGATGATGATGATGATGATGATGATGATGATGATGATGATGATGATGATGATGATGATGATGATGATGATGATGATGATGATGATGATGATGATGATGATGATGATGATGATGATGATGATGATGATGATGATGATGATGATGATGATGATGATGATGATGATGATGATGATGATGATGATGATGATGATGATGATGATGATGATGATGATGATGATGATGATCATGATGAAGATGATGATGATGATGATGATGATGATGATGATGATGATGATGATGATGATGATGATGATGATGATCATGATGAAGATGATGATGATGATGATGATGATGATGATGATGATGATGATGATGATGATGATGATGATGATGATGATGATGATGATGATGATGATGATGATGATGATGATGATGATGATGATGATGATGATGATGATGATGATGATGATGATGATGATGATGATGATGATGATGATGATGATGATGATGATGATGATGATGATGATGATGATGATGATGATGATGATGATGATGATGATGATGATGATGATGATGATGATGATGATGATGATGATGATGATGATGATGATGATGATGATGATGATGATGATGATGATGATGATGATGATGATGATGATGATGATGATGATGATGATGATGATGATGATGATGATGATGATGATGATGATGATGATGATGATGATGATGATGATGATGATGATGATGATGATGATGATGATGATGATGATGATGATGATGATGATGATGATGATGATGATGATGATGATGATGATGATGATGATGATGATGATGATGATGATGATGATGATGATGATGATGATGATGATGATGATGATGATGATGATGATGATGATGATGATGATGATGATGATGATGATGATGATGATGATGATGATGATGATGATGATGATGATGATGATGATGATGATGATGATGATGATGATGATGATGATGATGATGATGATGATGATGATGATGATGATGATGATGATGATGATGATGATGATGATGATGATGATGATGATGATGATGATGATGATGATGATGATGATGATGATGATGATGATGATGATGATGATGATGATGATGATGATGATGATGATGATGATGATGATGATGATGATGATGATGATGATGATGATGATGATGATGATGATGATGATGATGATGATGATGATGATGATGATGATGATGATGATGATGATGATGATGATGATGATGATGATGATGATGATGATGATGATGATGATGATGATGATGATGATGATGATGATGATGATGATGATGATGATGATGATGATGATGATGATGATGATGATGATGATGATGATGATGATGATGATGATGATGATGATGATGATGATGATGATGATGATGATGATGATGATGATGATGATGATGATGATGATGATGATGATGATGATGATGATGATGATGATGATGATGATGATGATGATGATGATGATGATGATGATGATGATGATGATGATGATGATGATGATGATGATGATGATGATGATGATGATGATGATGATGATGATGATGATGATGATGATGATGATGATGATGATGATGATGATGATGATGATGATGATGATGATGATGATGATGATGATGATGATGATGATGATGATGATGATGATGATGATGATGATGATGATGATGATGATGATACTAATAATAATAATCGTAGTCATGTTGAAGATGATAAAAATGAAATGAAACTCAGAATGAAAAGTATATTGATAATAAGGAATAAGTCAATCATGGCAAAAATAATAAGAATCAACCGAATGCTGTTTCCGAAATATCATCTTCCTAATTGAGTGTTGCTGCACGCCCCCTCACAGGAATTATAACCGTCCTGGTTAGTCAAACAGAGTAATATGCTTCGAATGCATCCAGTTTCAAGTGTAAAGCATCTTCACACTAGATATACTGTCTTCAGGAGCCATGCATAAAATTCGTGAAGTCAACGTTTTGTAGACAAGCAAGCTGAAAGTTTGTCAACCAGACAAACTTCCATTGTGTTACACAGTTGTCGCTAGCTCTAATCCTGCCATGGTTCGAATTTTCATTTCATCTTCAATCATCACCCAGTATCGATACCAGAATACCAAATCATAGCAATCTCAGATAGTCAAAAAGATAATATGATGGAAGCAAGAAGTAGAAAGAAGTGTGGATTGACTTACTTCCAGATCCCGTCACACCGGTGATAAGTAATAATGGCAAAGCGTATAACAGCATCATGACCGAAGTGAAATTGTGAATTATGTTTAGAAAAGCTATTTATGTTTAATCCTAGGTGACCGTTTACATACATATATATGAGTAGGCGTTGTGTTTTGTGTTTGTCTATGCTATTATGGCAGTAAGACCTTGTTTTGTACACAAAGATAAACAACATACCACTGTTTGTTTCAACTAATTAATGAGGTGACATTTTCACAAATTCCAAATCTTCTATATTAGAACTTGAAGTATAACACAACAATGAAGTATTAAAATATTTAATGCAAAGATTTATCTACGCATGAGTTAATTAATTCTACTCTTATGACTACTGTTATTTGTTAACATCCAAGTATTACTTTCATCAGAAAAGTAATCAAATGTTTATGAATTTTGAAACTTCCTCAAAAGGCATAGTAACCACGAGAATAGAGTTGTTGTGAGCTGAAAAAGCAGAGGAATTTTGATTTGTGGGTATTATTCAAGTTGTCATTGAAATTTAGTGAAGAGGATTAAGCTAGTACGATTATCACTGACAGGATTCATAGCGAACGCGTTGACCATTCACCCACTGGGTCACAGATCTTCGGTCCACAATTTCCCACTTCTGTCAATTTGCAATATAACGTGACCATCCATCAAGGTTTTCGGTTGGCATCCAATTCATTTCTGACTGCTTGACCTTACACGTCACAGATTTGCCAGTTGAGAAGTCTGATCCACCCTCACAATTCTATCATCACGCATGTAACATCCTATCATCATAGACCATAAACATCCATACATCCTAATATTTCCTGACATTCACAGTCACTATACCCGTGTCATCCTTGACTACTTCCAGCTGTTCAGCTCACAAAGAGTTCATGGGACGGCATTGTCGGACACCGGAAATCATGCTCCAGACCATGCATTGAAGCTTACGATATTCTCATTATTCCTAAATGTAGTCAGTGAGCTTTACAGGTCAAAACTCTGGCATCTCGGGCCATGCACTTATGCTGAGTATGTCAGACATGCATACAGAGTCAAGGCACCTATATTCACATAACGTTAACCGACGAACAGGGCGAATCTTCGAAATTACTCGTTCGAATTTCTACAGATTCGATGGCTAGTGTTCGTGGTCTTCAAGATGTAGATACAGCATTATTGCCACGACAGAAAGTGCACTGCTCCACTGGATGCCAGTAGACAGCCATCTGCATGTGCGCTGTTCGACTGGGAGGCACATATACAACTGAAAAGAACAGTGAAACTCACCGTTGACACTTTGTAATCTGAGTCTTCTAACCACAGCTCAACTGAATTGAAGCATGAGTTTTACCGACAACTGTCCAGCCTCCAACTAAAAAGCAAAGATTCACAAGTGGCTGTCGTACCAGGTGACTTCAATGGACAAGTGGGTAGGATAAGTCAAAGAGAAAGACCCCTAGTTGGCAGTTTAGTAACGCTAGCCAAACAAACAGGTAGAGGTTATCGTCTATTACAACCGTGCTCAAACAAACATCTTCCTCTGGGCAGTACGAACTCCAGAAATAAAAACAGACATTATCGGACGTGGCTCCCACCGACCACTACTCAGCAGTGGATACAGTTGGACCATTCTGCTGTCACTCATCTCCAGAGGCAGTCAGTGGTAGATTGTCACTCCGTCTGAAATACATTTTCTACGGCGATCATGAGTTGGTTAGATTACTGGTGTTTCTGGATCTTAATGGATGCATAATAATACCGCAGCAAGACTATTACGAGAGCCGGTTGATGATGAAAATCATTAGGCTGCTTTCAACGAGAAGTTCGTCAGAGGGCTACTCGAATAAGACAACGTCACATATTCTGAAGAAGCCTCAAGATTACTTGAAAAACAAGGTTAGACGCTGTAACAACTTCTCAGTATGTGGTGGGAATGAGCTAGTGGATCTGAGCAGAGAAGCTGTGTGGATCCAGAAATAGTCTCATTTGCTGGTAGAAGGATTTCTTCTCATCGGTGGAAGATTTAACTACTCAGAAATCATATCTCTAAAGTACATCGCGAAGTTGATTCTCCCAACCTGATGGCCAGATTGCCAAGTGATTGATAGAATTCGATCAGCACTTGGAACTAGTCAACATGGCGCTAGTTACTCTTCAGTAACCAATCAATGCACCATCCACCCCTATTCAAAGTTTCGGCTTTTCTCAATCGACTATCACAAATCGTATAGTACGAAAGCTGAAACGAAAGGAAATCTATTAGTTGATTATGTTGTATTATATTTTGTTAAGTAAATAATTATGCACAGAATGCTTGAGAAAAGAACAGTTTTAAGGAGCACGATATCCGATTGTAGCACAAGCCAACCTGGCGCCTGAATTACCAGTTGTTCGACTTCCTGTATCTGGAAATATTCTAAGATCATCAGTCTTTTGGTGTATAACTAGAGCACGCCCAATAAATCCGTTGTATGGTCCAAGTCCGTATAAGCTAACCCATAGATCGAAATGCATTACACCATTTCCATCAACTGGAATATTTACCAAATCACCTGCATGTCTAGGATGACCTGTACGTCCTCCATGACGTCTGATTTTTAGAATAATGAAAGTGTAGTGTGGTTACATGAGAAAACAGTTTCTAAATGTTAACTAAACTAACCAATAAACCACATTTCATGTAACTTAAAATGTAATTGCAATTTTGCTGATTTTGCTCGGCATGTCATCAAGATTCATATACACTTGTGACATGCATATTCCATAATACACTGGCACGGATTATTACTTACCACATAGGTAAGCAAAGGCATCTTACAAGCATATAATAACATGCATATGTACATTTTATAACAGAGAATTCCTAAAATATATTTATTCTACTTTATAAGGTGCTTCAAAATTGTCAACTACTTCAATACATACATTTATCAACTACTGCCTTGTAACGTTTTATTCTAGGTACTACTTAAAAAACTATCTGAAACATTGGTATTAATGCGTGCATGAGTCATGGAAAGTAAAAGGTGATACGTATTTCATTTCGAACAGATGTAGCTCACACGATGAACTGAAATGTTATGAAATCAATATTATTTTAGAATGTACATCACATAAAAATATGGCAAGATGCATGCTTACGAATCGGACACAAAGATCATGTCTTCTCACGAGAGTGGAAATACTATCTTCTAGATGAGGAATGAGCTGATGATCATTAAAAATGATGTGAAATTTAAAAGACTATGAAGTTGTAGTCTCCGTTGTATGCAAGCGTGGATATTATCTGGTATTTAGAGACTTGTAAAGTCTGTAGATAATAGTGACAAGCATTCTTCCTATGCCATATTGCTGCTTGGGTTTTGGTAGTTCAAAGTCAATGCAGCTGGTCACCAGAAATAGCGAACTGAGTGGTTTGCATTCAGATTTAATTAAAGGGGTAATCTATAATTGTAAACTGAATTTTGGAGTGTTCGGTGCACACATGAAGTTAAGTTTTCTTAACCGTCTCTGTTTCCAACCATGTATTTTAAAAGAATGATAAATTGATTTTGAAAATTGCTCAAACAAATCAGCTGTAACATCAAATTATATCCATCACGCAAGAGATGGCCATCATGTATTCACAGCTTGATAGAAAACACTCAGGCGTTTCAAATGATGGCTGCCGAGATTGAGCCCCATGGGAATAGCTGTCTCATCACTAGTTAGGGCTGCCTCCCGCTTGCATCCAACCGACTAACAACATTCCATTTAACTCCACATTCATTCACTCGTATATTAAGTATTCACTTTCTTCGGAGTGAACCAGGATTGAGGAACTTCGCTTCATATGAACGAGCTGTTTAAATTATGTCTGGATTCATTAGTATGTGGGAATAAAATTCCAACCTGGTCTTCAAGTTGTAGATCATTCGCTGTAATGATACCTGTCATCACCAAACAAATCCGACGGATCCGCACAGATTCTCTGCTCAGATCCACTAGCTCATTCCCACCACATACTGAGAAGTTGTTACAGCGTCTAACCTTGTTTTTCAAGTAATCTTGAGGCTTCTTCAGAATATGTGACGTTGTCTTATTCGAGTAGCCCTCTGACGAACTTCTCGTTGAAAGCAGCCTAATGATTTTCATCATCAACCGGCTCTCGTAATAGTCTTGCTGCGGTATTATTATGCATCCATTAAGATCCAGAAACACCAGTAATCTAACCAACTCATGATCGCCGTAGAAAATGTATTTCAGACGGAGTGACAATCTACCACCGACTGCCTCTGGAGATGAGTGACAGCAGAATGGTCCAACTGTATCCACTGCTGAGTAGTGGTCGGTGGGAGCCACGTCCGATAATGTCTGTTTTTATTTCTGGAGTTCGTACTGCCCAGAGGAAGATGTTTGTTTGAGCACGGTTGTAATAGACGATAACCTCTACCTGTTTGTTTGGCTAGCGTTACTAAACTGCCAACTAGGGGTCTTTCTCTTTGACTTATCCTACCCACTTGTCCATTGAAGTCACCTGGTACGACAGCCACTTGTGAATCTTTGCTTTTTAGTTGGAGGCTGGACAGTTGTCGGTAAAACTCATGCTTCAATTCAGTTGAGCTGTGGTTAGAAGACTCAGATTACAAAGTGTCAACGGTGAGTTTCACTGTTCTTTTCAGTTGTATATGTGCCTCCCAGTCGAACAGCGCACATGCAGATGGCTGTCTACTGGCATCCAGTGGAGCAGTGCACTTTCTGTCGTGGCAATAATGCTGTATCTACATCTTGAAGACCACGAACACTAGCCATCGAATCTGTAGAAATTCGAACGAGTAATTTCGAAGATTCGCCCTGTTCGTCGGTTAACGTTATGTGAATATAGGTGCCTTGACTCTGTATGCATGTCTGACATACTCAGCATAAGTGCATGGCCCGAGATGCCAGAGTTTTGACCTGTAAAGCTCACTGACTACATTTAGGAATAATGAGAATATCGTAAGCTTCAATGCATGGTCTGGAGCATGATTTCCGGTGTCCGACAATGCCGTCCCATGAACTCTTTGTGAGCTGAACAGCTGGAAGTAGTCAAGGATGACACGGGTATAGTGACTGTGAATGTCAGGAAATATTAGGATGTATGGATGTTTATGGTCTATGATGATAGGATGTTACATGCGTGATGATAGAATTGTGAGGGTGGATCAGACTTCTCAACTGGCAAATCTGTGACGTGTAAGGTCAAGCAGTCAGAAATGAATTGGATGCCAACCGAAAACCTTGATGGATGGTCACGTTATATTGCAAATTGACAGAAGTGGGAAATTGTGGACCGAAGATCTGTGACCCAGTGGGTGAATGGTCAACGCGTTCGCTATGAATCCTGTCAGTGATAATCGTACTAGCTTAATCCTCTTCACTAAATTTCAATGACAACTTGAATAATACCCACAAATCAAAATTCCTCTGCTTTTTCAGCTCACAACAACTCTATTCTCGTGGTTACTATGCCTTTTGAGGAAGTTTCAAAATTCATAAACATTTGATTACTTTTCTGATGAAAGTAATACTTGGATGTTAACAAATAACAGTAGTCATAAGAGTAGAATTAATTAACTCATGCGTAGATAAATCTTTGCATTAAATATTTTAATACTTCATTGTTGTGTTATACTTCAAGTTCTAATATAGAAGATTTGGAATTTGTGAAAATGTCACCTCATTAATTAGTTGAAACAAACAGTGGTATGTTGTTTATCTTTGTGTACAAAACAAGGTCTTACTGCCATAATAGCATAGACAAACACAAAACACAACGCCTACTCATATATATGTATGTAAACGGTCACCTAGGATTAAACATAAATAGCTTTTCTAAACATAATTCACAATTTCACTTCGGTCATGATGCTGTTATACGCTTTGCCATTATTACTTATCACCGGTGTGACGGGATCTGGAAGTAAGTCAATCCACACTTCTTTCTACTTCTTGCTTCCATCATATTATCTTTTTGACTATCTGAGATTGCTATGATTTGGTATTCTGGTATCGATACTGGGTGATGATTGAAGATGAAATGAAAATTCGAACCATGGCAGGATTAGAGCTAGCGACAACTGTGTAACACAATGGAAGTTTGTCTGGTTGACAAACTTTCAGCTTGCTTGTCTACAAAACGTTGACTTCACGAATTTTATGCATGGCTCCTGAAGACAGTATATCTAGTGTGAAGATGCTTTACACTTGAAACTGGATGCATTCGAAGCATATTACTCTGTTTGACTAACCAGGACGGTTATAATTCCTGTGAGGGGGCGTGCAGCAACACTCAATTAGGAAGATGATATTTCGGAAACAGCATTCGGTTGATTCTCATTATTTTCCCCATGATTGACTTATTCCTTATTATCAATATACTTTTCATTCTCTTGAGTTTCATTTCATTTTTATCATCTTCAACATGACTATGATTATTATTATTATAAGTATCATCATCATCATCATCATCATCATCATCATCATCATCATCATCATCATCATCATCATCATCATCATCATCATCATCATCATCATCATCATCATCATCATCATCATCATCATCATCATCATCATCATCAACATCATCATCATCATCATCATCATCATCAACATCTTGATTATGATTATTATTATTATTATTTCAATTATTATTACTATCTCTCGCCTCTCAGTTAACTTCTAATAATTACATCTACTGATTTCAACACCAGCACCAGCAACGCCGACAACGACAATATCGGGTGCGTCTACTGTGAAAGCAGTGCTTCGTGAAATCTGCTTCCTCATTATGGTCAAGCACTGACTGATTGCCTCAGAATTTCTTACATCAGGATTCTACTGAATGCAGTTCCGTGGACTGCTGGCGTGTTATGCGCAGACGTCTAGCCGTCACATATAAGTAGTCTCATGTGGCTTGATCACATAGGCGTAGCTTCGTTCATCTGTATTCATTCGTTGCATGTTGAAGATAGGTGAGAAATCCTGCTCCATCCAGGTTTGTCTTCAGCTCAAGTAGTATTACAAATTCTATTAGAACTACGAAATGTTAGATATGTGAAAAATCAACGAAGTCGGTTGAGAGAAGCAGGTAGCACTTGACTGTTGGAACTGGTTTTCTATGGTTGATGTTGCCCACACAGCACATGTCGATCAACATCAAAATTTGTGATACGATTCCTTACAAGTAGTAATGGGAGGGATAAGGCAAATCGCTTGCCGAATCATTGTACTATCTGCACGTACAAGTGGGACTCCTGGATTCATGCAAGTGACGGTCCACTGTAGCTTGAAATGAGAAACGAATCGAGTCGAATTGAGTCAGCTGAGCCTAAATCATTGGTAGCAGAGATGCATGGTCTTCACTTGCTACACACACTTTGTTCAGACATGTCGCAGTATCGACTCTTCTATGCCTCTGTACCTATTTACCAAACCCGTTCAAAATAGATCCTGAAATGTGTTCAGGAATCAGCTATGTGAAGTTTAGGCGAACTCAGTGTGTTCAAAATCAATTTGTTGCAATATTGCACATTCCTTGATGAAGTTATCACTGAAACCGAGGTCAATGTATTTTCAGTTCCACTCACTTGACTGTCATTTCTTCTTCGCCTTTCAATTTAGACTTCATACTAAGCCTCTTCTCCTCATATACTCACATACTTCCTCTTAACAGCTTATCAAACAAATGCCTATGACGACAAGGATATGTTTGATCAGATTGTTCCAAATATGTGGCGTGAACACATAACTTGGTTCAGACAAACTGCATCATCTTACTGATTTGTCAGTGTTATGCTTTTGTCGACTTCAGATTATTTTCGAAGTGAAATGATGCACGTTTTGTAATAGCATAGCAGTTGTTGTGAATGATACTAAGAGTAGGGCTCATTGCTGATCGTAATACGATACCCTTATACTTGCATCAACTTCAGACTGCTTCCGAAGTAAATCAGTCTCAAACTATCACCTACCACACCACTCTCACCTGCTTCAAACAATCAATCAAAATTGAAATTTTATTAAGTTCACAAATACATCTTAAATAATGATCTCTTGATTTCGATGTTTCAATATTGGTGTGTAATTCTACCTCTGAATAATTGGTTGCACTCTGTTGAGTTAATATTGAGAGTCGTTATATCACAAATAAGCTGTGGTTAATGCAAGTATAACACAGGTGAAATATAATATTTGTGACGGTTTCCTCTACATGTCATGTCGCACGTTCATCCTGACCAGTGAATATTTATTCATAGATTATATAATGTGATTATATATAATCCCATATTAGATGGCGTTTGCAGCAATCTTCTTGAGCTGGCGAATGCGACAATTATTGTTATCATTATTTAGATACCATGCTGCTCATTCCGTGATCAGACAAGTAAAGATTTTATACTTGCCCATAAATCTGTTCTCTTTATTTCTATACTGTTGAGAAAACACACAGCGATCTGAAAGAAGGCGTACACTAAGATAGATTTTGGATGGTTGTAGGCAGTCTGTTGAAAAACTCTATAGGTCTCGTATTTGTCATCATATTGTATCTGCAACCTTAATTGAATCGATGTTTTTATTAGATTCCAGCTGGTGACACCCAGTGCTTGATTTAGATATGCAGCGTATCAGCGGATATCAGTTCCGTCGAGGGTGCAGATACACTCTGATGATTACTGCCGTAGAGCACGGAATTAAGTCAAAGATATTGCAGCAGATTGTTTGGCACCGCTCAAAATCAATCGAAGTGCACTGTGGTGCTGAGACCCCTGCCTTGGTCACCAAAAGTAAAATTACCACTAGAATTCGGTCAGCGCACAGAATTGGACACTATGAGATAGCTGCTACCTTGACGTGGTGGTCGGGCTTGCATATCACAATGACCCAACGAGCTATGCTGGTGGAACGCTTGTTCCCTCGAGGTCCTACCATACCAGAAAGGTCTGTTGGGTAGTGGTTAGACGAAAAGCAGTTACCGTTATAGTGTAAATTGCTACACTATGATGGGGGTCTGAGGGCGAAGTCGTACTGCTGCTAGCTGGATGGGGTGTGACAGCAGTAAGGTGTTTCCCTTGGATGACCAGCAGTGCCAAGCTGATGCTGCCTTCTCAGTGGAAGGGGGGGTTAGAAAAGGTCGGCCCCAAAAATAACACACTCCACCACGCCCCACGGTCTGCCGGGCCGGCGGTGTTGGTTCACTTGTCGTTTCCTTTCGCTCATCCGGCCCCAAAAATACAAAAATTCAAAATAATCATACTCAAAAGGCTGGGTGTGACAGGCCTCAAGCAGATGTCCGATGGGCTCTGCGGTCACACAAATCTCTTTCAGGTACCTTAAGAAGAAATAGCCTTCCACGGTGTGGGCAGCCGGGAAGTGTCAACCGCCCTCACAACTCTGTCAGCACCCAAGTTTCTTCTGACTGCTATCCTCCTCCTCCATCATTACCTTCTAATCTTCCTTCACGTCTCTTAATTAATGATGCTGCATCATCTTCAATTTCTCCTACCTCTGCAGCCTTCGACAACGATCTGAGTCCACAGAACAGCATCCCTGGTCTCCTTAAACCACGCTCCAAATTACATATTGGAGCCTTCAATGTCCGCACCCTCCGTCAAATTGGCCAACAGGCTTCGTTGGCAAAGACTCTAGCAACTCGGGGCATGGATGTGTGCTGTGTTTGTGAGACACGCATACAGGACCCAAGTGTGGTTATTCACCTGACCTCTCCTGACCAATCTGGTGAATCTGCAAAATTCACCCTTCGAGTTTCTGGAGATTCGATAGCTAGCTCTCGTGGTCTTGCAGGTGTAGGTATAGCATTAAGCACCAGGGCAGAAAACTCACTACTAGACTGGATCCCAGTTGATAGTCGCCTCTGCGCTATGAGGCTGAACGGCACAGTGAGAACTAAAAGGAATAGTGAGACTCGCCGTTGTCTCTTTGTAATCTCTGCTTACGCACCCACTGACTGTAGTTCGGATGAAGTGAAGGACGAGTTCTACCATAAACTGTCTAACCTCCTCTCGAAAGCCAAACGTTCGGACGTAGTGGTTGTTGCAGGTGACCTCAACGCACAGGTGGGTAGACTGAGTGAGGCAGAAAGGCACTTAGGTGGCACTTTCGGAATCCCAGCTGAACGTACAGATAACGGTGATCGCCTATTACAACTATGCTCAGATAACCGCCTATTTTTAGCCAGCACAAATTTCAGACATAAAGAAAGGCACTGTCTGACCTGGCGTCCACCGAGCTCGACTCAGCGATGGACACAGATAGACCACATTGCTATTAGTCATCGCTGGAGAGGATCGGTGGAAGACTGCCGCTCCTTCTGGAGTACGTGTTTGGACAGCGATCATGCGTTGGTCCGAGCACGTATATGCCTGCGTCTCAATGGACGTAGAAAAAATTTGGCAACAAAACCACTACGAGTTCTGCTGGACAACGAAAACACCAAAGCCGTGTTCAGTGAGAAGTTGGCTAGGCAGTTATCGGAACAAAAGACTGTCACTCATCCAGAAGAAGCTTGGTGCCATCTTCAGTCTACTGTAAAAGCAGCACTGGAGACTGTAGCCGACTCCAAGATAATGGCTAAAAAGAGCCAGTGGATATCAGCAGCTTCTTCCAAACTAATGGATGCACGTGAATGCATCCCTGCAGGCTCTGAGTACAATGAAGAGCGAGCGCAACTTAAAAATAAACTGACGAAAAGTCTGCGCAACGATCGTGAACAGTGGTGGGCAGCAAAGGCTAAAGAGATGGAAAAGGCAGCGGCGATCGGTAACAGTAGACAGTTATTTAGACTTATTAAGGAGACTGGGGGAAATGGTCAACAACAGTTAGTGAGGTTATAGCGGAGAAGGACGGATCGGCGATTCACTCGCAGGGAAGGCGACTGGGACGATGGGCAGAACACTTTGAGGAACAGTTTAACTGGCCTCCAGCCACCATTGCGCTGCCCGCTATCCAGTCGGACCCTGAATGGGACATAGAGACAGGTCCCCCAACACTAGAAGAAGTTGAGAAAGCGGTAGGTAGCCTGAAACGGGGAAGGGCAGCAGGACCAGACGGACTACCTGCTGAGGTATACAAGAATGGTGGTAGAGTTCTCTTAGTCAGGCTAACGGAAGTGTTAGCCAGTATATGGGAATCAAATACGATCCCCTCCGACTGGTCTAAGTCACTCATCATCCCAGTCTTCAAGAAAGGCGAGAAGTCCTCTTGTGATAACCACAGAGGAATCAGCCTGACAAACATAGTGTCTAAGATCCTAAGTTCTATAATTCTCCGACGCCTGAGTGGAGCTCGGGAACAGCAAGCCCGAGAAAACCAGGCAGGCTTTAGACCTGGCCGTGGATGTATCGACCAAATATTCACACTGCGCCAGGTCCTGGAACATAGGCATGCTTACAGACGCCCGACAATAGCTGTATTTCTCGACCTGAAGGCGGCATTTGACTCCGTTGATCGAGAAGTCTTATGGCAGTGTCTGTCACTGAAAGGCGTGCCTAGTAAGTACATCACCTTATTGAAAGCTCTCTACTCGAACACTTGTGGGCATGTTAGAGCCTATGGTGAGTTGTCCAGGGAGCTATACTCATCAAGTGGTGTCCGTCAAGGATGCCCACTATCCCCATTCTTATTTAATTTTATCATAGATATTCTTATGGAGGTTTCCCTCTCGTCACCTAATTACAAAGACGTTGACCGGATCACAGGTGAATTTTCCTTAGATCTAGAATATGCAGATGACATAGTCCTGTTAGGTGAAGACGCTGACAAGATGCAGAGTCTTCTGAACACTTTGAGTGGGAATTTGAGAATGTTTGGGATGCGATTTTCACCACCCAAATGCAAATTTTTGCTCCAGGACTGGTCTTCAGCGGTACCGCGGTTAACAATAGAGAGTGAAGTGGTTGAGTGTGTTGACCACTTCACTTACCTGGGAAGTAGGATCAACCCGGTGGGTTAGTTGCCGATGAGATTTCTGCACGGATACAAAAGGCTCGATTGGCTTTTGCCAATTTGCGCCGCCGTGATATTCGTTTGTCTATTAAGGGTCGCGTGTACTGCACAGCAGTCCGCTCTGTTCTACTGTATGGCTGTGAAACATGGCCATTGAAAGTGGAAGATACAAAAAGGTTTCAGGTATTTGACCACCGTTGCCTTCGTAGTATAGGACGTATTCCGTGGTGTCACCATGTGAGTAATGCAGAAGTTAGGTGTAGAGTTTTAGGGAGAAGAGGTAAGTCAGTCGACGAGGTTGTGAACCTTCATCGACTGAGATGGTTGGGACACGTACTACGTATGCCTAGTCACCGATTGCCTCGTCACACAATGTTGGCTGAGGTGGGTTCAGGCTGGAAAAAGGCCCGAGGTGGCCAGACTAAAACATGGCACCAATGTATGAAGTCTCTGACTGTTGGTTTAAGCCATGTAGGACGATGCAGACTAGGTGGTTGGGGTCCACGGGACAAGAGGAACCAGTGGTTGGAGACCCTAGGTGATATGGCTCAGAACCGAAGTCAGTGGCGCAGATGTATACACACATTATCCTCATCTTAACAACGCTATACCGAATCTCACTATTTTGTCACTCCTCTTTCCTTTCTTCTCGTACTTTATATTTCTTTTGACTGCATTCACTTATCTTCATCCTTCACCTCACTACCTTTTTACTTGATGTGCTGATATGAGGTGTGGCAACTCGGACCGTTACGCAGTAATGCCTGGTCCTATGTTGATAATGATGATGATGATGAATTACTCTACAGTGACCAACCAATGTATGCATTAAGCTGCCTCATAAACTATGCCAACCTCAGAATGATCTTGGTGAAACGCCAGCACCATAACTTCATTATATGTACGAGTCTCATAAACAATATTGTTGCCATCTAAGTCTCTTCATGATACTCAACAAATACTATCTTAATTCCGTTTCACATCACATCACGCTGAGGAACTAAACACATGCACACACACACACATAGTTGAAGACATTTATTGATAATATTCCAAGGTTGTTGTACGTAGTGTCTGTGTGACGTGAGGATGACGCCTGGTCGACGGTGTGTGTTGAATTTGTCATTTACAAGTAGATGGGGATAATACACACACATACATTTCTTCTATAACCAGTTTTTATCCAGTAGAGGAGGATAGTTTTTCATTGGAATGAGCTTTTATTCAGATACACAGGAAAGTAATTTTGTTACTGTAGGGATGCCGGAGTATAGCAAAACAAAATATACAATAGCTAGTTTCAGAGGAGAAGATCATATTGGAGATTTGTATTTCACGTTAGAAGGCAATGAACTATCAATTCTTGGAAAAGTGAATGGTTTGCCAAGTGGACGCAAATTGGGTGTGCATATCCATGAATATGGTACGATAGCTAATGGCTGCAATCTCGCTGGACCGCATTTCAACCCATTCAACAGGTAAACAATTTATGAAATACTTTCATGTACTTCGCTGAACATTACATGAGAAACAGACATATTTGATCGATACTGTTTTCAATAGACTCTTATCAGGCTTCACTCTGATTTACGTATATCTCCTCAGATATAAGAAGTCTAACCAATCTTGTCTCGATAGACAAAGCAATTCCATATGATGAGATTTAATTGAAAACAAGATTGTTCAATCATGTGTCATCTTTCAGATTTCACAATGCGAAATTTTAGCCTTGTTAAATATTTCACTCTAACATTTGACCCCATGTAATTGACACAAATCACCATCACATTGTCAGTGACGTCTTCTAAACCACACATGGATTTCAAACTTTGAATAATGTTATAACTTATGTATTAACTAAATTAAATTGCACGCGAGAATCGATTGTCGTCAAGATGATGTTTATCTCCTATGTGCAAATCACATAAATGTAAACACGGCACATTACATGAAACATTGTAGTCACATGATCTCAGCTACTCAACTACTCCTGATCAAATGAATTCATTCTTTCATCACGACTGACCAACAAATCAGACTGACTATCAGATTGCTGGATGAAATAACCCTCTCCCATTCTAACTGGTGCTCCTCTTAGCATTAGTATTTCATGGTCATGACGTGAGATTGAAGTCGACTGAATGGAAATCAGAGTAGTTGACTGCAGCAGCAAACGAAGAAGATGGCATAAGTGTTGATTTGATCAGGGAATTTCTTTCACATACTGGTCACGCAATCATCAGATGTGTATTGGTATGAAAGTGGTGATTGTCTGTTGACCAATTATCTTTTGTTTACTTGGATAAATTTCAGTAACCATGGTGGACTGACAGACCCACCAAAAAATCCCGGTGATCTCGGAAACTTTCAAGTGGATGAGTATGGCGATATGCGTATCATTACGAAGCTTGACGTTTCAGATTTGAAGGAATATGACACGTTTCTCGGAAGAACAATCGTCATACATGGTGACGAAGATGATTTGGGTCGAAATGACAATGATGCGAGCCGCACAACAGGCAATTCAGGTGGTCGCTTGACGTGTGCAGTGATTGGTTTATGGAAAGCATAGTTTTCGATGTGATTCTTTCTCCTCGTATATTTGCAGGATAATAACTGTGGATGTTAATATCAGTGAATACCTTTGGATTTCTTACTGTAGTAATTTGTAGTGATTTAAATAAATAGTTTAGAATGACATGGTTGTTGGTGTTTATTTGGCAACTGGATGGAAAATAATAATCGGTGTGGAACATGTGGAATGATGAAGTCAGTTTTCCATTCCACCGTTTCAATCTTCATCTCAGGCAGACTTTCGGAACCTCCGATTTCACAAAATACTGTTTCGAAGCATTTCCTATCGGTACGGAGGCATTAGTGAATTCTCTGCCAACAGGGTAATTAATAACACTAATTAATAAGGCAATCAGAAACCTATTACATATTCAATGAATGAAGCAGTATTCGAATTCTTGCGTTTCCGAATAGCTTCAATTCCATCGTATACATTCTGTGCTTGCATTAACTATACTGTTTATGACAAACAGAAAATTAGAAGGCAAAAGCCAACCCATACGATCACTGAGGTCTCATGAGTTTCACTTCAATTATGTAGGATTTCTGTAATTTCTGTGAAGTCAACGTGCATCAGTCAGTGACACAAATGTGAGCAGTGTTGGTCATGTGTACAGTTAGCCTCGTGAGCGACACACATTCAGAATGGAGTAGAAGAGTGTCAGTGATTTTATGAGCCGAAATCAGGCGCACATTACAGGGCAGCGTGAATCAAGTTCAATATACAACTTGATGATGAATCATTTTCAGTATTGATTTAGTGCTCTGAATAATGATTAGTTCACTTCCCACCCTCTCCCCTACTCATATGTATTTGAAGTGAATAAACTCGGAACGATGGATGTCAAGCGGAATTATAGATGATGCATATGAGCTTGGCATTCGACTCGATATATGTGTACTTCTCGTGTTTGGGGAAGTATGCTGTCTACTGTATTGAAATTTAACAACTTTCGAATGTCTTACCTTGTTAACATTCACTGCCACCACACGAATACTAATATAGACTACCCGAACTTCATGAAATACCACCAACACTAGATATGCATACATGTCTTGTCGTCTGTGATGTAAATTAATACAAATTTCGTCAAACATTCTGATCTCTTTATATTTCATGGAAATGAATAAATAAACAAAAGACAGTCTCCTACATTACTCCCCATCTATATTGTTGGTAATATCTGTTGGGTTTAAGTTTATTACACAGTTCTCTTCTCCCCCCTAATTTGTTTAGGGGGGATTTTTGTTTGTTGAAAAATATGGCTTTAAATGACCTCAGTGAATTATCCTAAGCCATAAGAAATTTCAAGTAATATTATATATGCTAGTCATCGGAACTCAACGCATACGTTGAAAGTAAAATGTTATCAGGGCCAGACTATTTCCAACCTCAAGTAAAAACCTTGGTTCTTCAATCATGAACAAAATATTAAATACTCACATGGTTATTTTAAGCCAATTTACTGCAGTTATTCGATAACAACAACAATCCCAATACACTACCACGCCTTAGAAACATAGGAAATTAAAGAAATGCTGCCTCTTAATCACAAATGAAATAGTTTCCCCTCTCTCATACTTCAACTTGAACAGCAAATCGACTCTCAATAAAAAGTTTCGTAGTGCAGAGTACATGGTAGCGATTTCGAGGCAAACACGGAGATACTTTGTAAGGTTGGCTTTTATGAAAGTGATTACTCAGTTAGTACTTGTTTTCGAAGACCACCTTAATGTTGGTCAGAACTACCAAGACAGAGTAATCAGTTTCTCACCAAGATTATCCTCAAAGTTACAGCTAGCAGTGTATTGAAGGTATCCTGACCAACAATGGACTGGATGGTTTGAAAAAACTTGGGCACCAAGTTAGTATGATTCATTGTATAAGGTGTATTTTTACTTGTGTAATCCCTGCCAATGTCAGATTCATACTCTTGAAAAGGATCTTCCTAGCAAGATTGAAACGTTGAGGATTAATACAAAATATTTGTTTATTTCGTTATTTGTTCTAATATACTACACTAGGATTATACACGTAAAAATGCAACTTATACAATGTAGCAGCGTATTCCTACAAGGATTTAAATAGATCGATGAAAAGATTGTGTATTGCCGAATGGAATAATAGATTATAAGTACATTTCAAATGAAAAGTTTACAAACAATGGTAAGCTTTCATTTCAGAAAATTATTAAGAAAATATTCCGACTGTTGGTGTGATCACCGGCAGTAGTTTTGTTCCAATTAATACCAAAATAAGAACACATGACTGTGCAAACTTTCTATTAATACATTTAAGATGTAGATTTATCTGCAAACCTCATTTACAGTGCTAAATTACACTCAATACATATTGATCTCAGCAACTACCAGGACACGCATTTCGTCCTACTCGGGACTCGTCAGCTGGATGTAGCAGGACCCCAGTCAGTGATGTGGTTCTCATGGTGGATCAAACTAAATACCCATCGCTTAAACCGGCAGGGCCTTTTTCACTAACCCAAGTAACAAATAGTACAAAACATCAATCCTGGAGTTCTCTGTTAGTCACCCAGATCAACTTTGGTTCATGAATCAGCAGTAGTAACAAGGTAGCCGCTTGGGAGCCCATATACGAACAGAGATCGAGCGATCCAACCCTGCATAACAACAGGAAATTACAATTATCATAACAACAATTACACTAAATTCATTTTGAAACAGGCTCCCTGAAATATAACACAACATTGACACTACAGAACTAAATTCTCCACAAACTTAAATTCATTTCGGATTTAATCGTAACCTGAAGGCGACTGATTTCTTAAAACAGAATTCATGTGACAAGTGATGATATTTTTCTAGGCCAATCTAAATACGGATAGCTTATCTATGCTCAACTAATGAGATTCTTACAAATAAGTGTCCTAGTCGAATAGGAAAGTATCTTCGTCACACAAACACATTGACTTTTAAACGGAGGAGCCAGCCAGTCATTTTTCACTTCAAATTTCTTTCTTTCCCCCTAAATAAACTAGGGGGAGAAACATCCGTGCGATAAACGTCAACCAAAGATATTAACCTCGCTCACCCTTTTTATCACGTTGTGAGTGATATGCACACGACACAGAAGGTGATGTGAGTGCGGAAAACTTGGCATAATGCAGACGAAATTGCAGGAGAGTAATCTATTATGAAAGCACCCACTCTGCGGCTTCCAATAATATTATTAAAAAACCTCAGAAATGCACCAATCAGTTCTGATGTCTCACTGATTATGAAAGCAAAAGCTATGGGAATAGCCATGAAGTTGATGTCAGTGGCTACTAACTCGTAGAGAAAAAGGTTCTCATTATTAGTCTTGTAAGTGCCATCGAAACCCAGTAGATGAAGACAGTTTTCAGCTACTTTCAGCTGATCGGCTGTAGCGACAAAAAATGATTTCAGATCTCCACCAGCTATGACAGAGAAGGATGCTGATCCACCTTGACAGATTATATGCTCCTGCAACTTTTCATAACTGCCTACAACAACATCGTTATAAGGGAAATTTCAACCACAGGTCAAATTACACTTAGCGAAGAGGCGATAGCGTATATTGAACACATCTTGACTATTCAATCGCTTATCATGGTGTGCATAAACGAAATCAACAACATTAAATGCAGCCGTTCAGGATATCAGCAATGGCTTTATGCTCTCCAATTCAGCTCCTGTCAACTTCTGCGACCACGAACTATTGTCATAAAGCAGTGAATTTCAGGGATGATTGTGAGTCAACAGTCACCGAGTAATTGTCCAGAAACCTTCTAAGAACTTCGCGAGCACGAACATTTCAGGTATATTCTATGAAGTAAATAATGAAAACAAACATAACTGACCTTCTTGTCACTACACCACCTATTGACCGGCGTTCACTAGCCTTATAG